ACATAGAGCATTGTTTTTAATATTTGTTTTTTTAGAGTACCTATTTAAATAATTTGTTAAGTTCTATACAAAACTTTAATCTAAACTTGGTGATCGATATACACAAGACAAATTTAATGTTTCATCATCAGAAAACTGAATGTGCAACGATGAACGAACTACAGAAATCAATTTTCTAACCTTAACTAAATTAACCTGAGTTAAATTTCCAAACTATACAGAGATGCTATCTTACAGGTCCAATTTGCTATAATAATTATAATAATTAAAATACTCATCATATTAAAATATAACACTTTATCAGATAGCTGTGAATTTAATTAAACATGATAAAGATTATAGGTACAAAATAAGAATGGTTTAATTTATTAAAGATATTAAATGTTTATAGAAAATTACTTACAATCGCTATCATGTTGACTAGGTAGTCCTTCAATTGACAGTTGCAATATTTGGTATAAAGCTTTCTCCGAATCACTGGACACTGTGTATGGATCTTTATAAGGACCACCCCCTGTTTTAAACAAATCGCTTTTAGTGCCACGTAACTGTTTTTTTACCGATTCATATTTCAAACGCAAACTGATGGAATCTCTTGGCTATAACAAAAATAGTATAATCATATTTTATACATACAGAAAATTAAATTTAAAATTCTTACACAGCCTGTTGTTCTAGAGTTATATGTTTCAGCAATGTTCAACCAACACTTATTTTTATCCTTCCAGGATACTGCATTTGATTCTTTGTTCTCAAGTATGTGACGGTTTTCAAGTGCGATATTTAATAAAAGCTCTTTTTCGCGAAAAGTAAAATTTGTTGCCCTAGCCCTTTTTTCGGTGTTCTTTATGTTCGACATATTATCAAAATACAAATATACAATTTACAACAGCACATAGGTAATTAACAAAAATTAATTATAACTTATCTTGAACATGAGCACCAAAGCATCAAACTATCAAATAAATAAACAGAAATAATTTAAAACTTAAATATCCAAACATATCACATTATCACAATAATCAAGGTTATCATTGACCAATCATAATGAAATAAGCCTGCGTAACTTGTTCCATAATGCATAATTTCTACTACATATTAGTATCAATTGCACGCCATTAATTGTATTCGACGGATAGCTATCTGGAGAATAAGATTTCATTGAAAAACACTTATCA